CCGTGGTCGTCCTTCCTCCTCCTCCCTCGACGTCGTCGTCGTGCGTCGTCGGCGTCTCGTCGTCGTCCCTCCTAGTTCCTCGCCGCCGTCGTCCTCGCCGTCGTCGTCGTCGTCGTCGTAGTTGTCGTCGTCGAAGTCTTCCCTCTTCCCTCGTCGTTGTCGTCGTCGGCGTCGCCGTCCTTCCTCCTTCTTCGTCGTTCGCGTCGTCGCCGTCCTCCCTCCTCCCTAGTCGTTGTCGTCGTTGTCGTCGTTGTCGTCGTCGTCGTCCTCCCTCCTCCCTCGTCGTCTTCGTTGGCGACGTCGTCGTCGTCTTCGTCGTCGTCGTCGGCGTCGTCGTCTTCGTCGTCGTTGACGTCGGCGTCGTTGTCGTCGCCGTCGGCGTCGTCGTCGTCGTCGGAGTCGTTGACATCGTCGTCGTCGTCGGTGTCGTCGTTGTCGTCGTCGGCGTCGTCACCGTCGTCGTCGTTGTCATCGTCGTCGTCGTCGTCGGCGTCGTCGTCGTCGTCGGTGTCGTCGCAGCCGTCGTCGTCGTCGTCGTTGTCGGCGTCGTCGAAGTCGTTGGAGACGTCGTCGGTGTCGTCGCAGTCGTTGCGGGCTCGCGCGGCCGCAAAGATGTACCAGCCAACACCCAGTACTCATCGCAATTGTTCCCGCATGGGTTTTGCAAACCAAGTTGCGGGTGGGTGGGTGGGATGATTGCGCGAGCAGCGGAGTTGACCACTTCAAGTTCGGCAAGTGAATTGCACCGCATATATTCCATCACAGATTTTGCACTATCTAGATGCAACACATGGATGGAACAACATAGCTTGTACAACATGCGTTAGTCAACATATACTCAACCACATAGATTGCACAACAGTCACCCGCATGTGTTGCGCACCACCTAGATTGCCCCACATAGGTTGCGCCACTTAGATTGCGCCACGTAGATTGCACCACATACATTGCACCACCTATGCTGCACAACAGATACTGCAGAACATATACTACACCACATAGTTCGCACTACAGACGTGGCTCCGCACACGTTGCACACGATCGATTGCTAGAACCTCGTTGCTTGGGGCCCAAGCTGACTCACATTGGGAAAGTGTGGGGGGGTGACAGTCGCACAGGGGATCGAGGCGGAACGGCGGGGCCAAGGTACACAGAACGCATGTCCAAATGTTACCCCTTGGCAAAATTTAAGGGACCCCAGGACACACAAATAAATACACACAAGTAAAATGATTCCCCATATGTTCCCATATGTGTTGAGTTTTTGTCTTCCCCCCCACTTCCCATATTTTCCCATATCTTCTGGGGGGATCGACAATGAATTGTGTCTGTGTGTTTTTTTCCTCTTGAAAAATCCAGAGCTTCCCCAGCTCCGACGTAGATTACGTGCTCGACCATTGACCCCTTACTGCCCATCGCTCCTCGGCCGCCTCCCGCGGTCTTCGGAGAGTCTTCGGCGGTCTTCGGCGAGCCTCTGACGGCACTCTTGCGGCTTCCAACGCGGTCTTTGGCGGCTTCCGTTGGTCTTCGGCACGGGAGCTGCACGGTTGTGATCTAGGAGGGGTCCACGATCGAACACCTGAGCTTGGATATTGTGATGGGCTTGTGAGGAGGAGGGGACGGAGGGGAAGGAGATGGAGGAAGAGGAGGCGGGGAGGAGGAGGAGGAGGAGGAGGAGGAGGAGAAGGAGGAGGAGGAGGAGAACGAGGAGGAGGAGGAGGGAGAGGAGGAGGAGAACGAGAGGAGGGAAGGAGGAAGAAGGCGTGGAGGAGAAGAGGAGGAGGAGGAGGGAGGAGGGGAGGAGGAGGAGGGGCAGGAGGAGGAGGAGGAGGAGGAGGAGGGAGAGGATCAGGATGAGGAGGAGGACGAGGAGGAGGCAGTGGAAAGCGGGCCCGCCATACTGGGAGCGGCCAGCACGGCCCGCGGAGCTGCTTCGCCCTCGCTCTCTCCTCCCCCCCTTCCCTCAATCTCCGCTTCTCTCTCCGTGCCCGGCGGCGGACCTCTGTCCCGTGTGCCCCGTGCCTGTGCCAGAGGCCGGGGCCACGAGCGGGACAGCCGGGAGTCGGTGGCGAGCCTGGGAGGGAGGGGGAGGGAGGAGGAGGAGGAGGAGGAGGAGGAGGAGGAGGAGGAGGAGGAGGAGGAGGAGGAGGAGGAGAGGAGGAGGAGGAGGAGGAGGAGGAGGAGGAGGAGGAGGAGGAGGAGGAGGAGGAGGAGGAGGAGGAGGAGGAGGAACAGCAGGGGCCCGACCACAAGAGACCTTCCACAAGAAGCCCAACCCCGAGACCCCAGGACGTCCATGGATTCCAGGTGCGGGAACGTCACGCTTTCCACGGCAAAACCATCGAAACCCAAGAAACCTGGGGCACCCTGGAGGCGAGCAGGGTGTTTCTTGGCATGGGTCTCCACTGCAGAGGGAAACAATTAGTGGACACTCCCCCCCGAACTCAAAATTGGTACGCGCGGGGAAAGAATGCGGTCGAAGTGCAGCTCGTTCAACCCACCATCATTGGGAGGGGGGGCACTGACAGATGACTGCGGCACCAGTGTTCGCTAATTTCTTCCGAGGCCTATACTCGTACTGCATGTCCTCCTGGAGGCGCGCGTCCGCCCAGAACATATAGTAGTATACCCATCCTGTAGTACATCGTTTCCCGAGCGGTGCGGCCAGAAAGCGCCCGCCACGACGCATATACTTTACGATTTTGTGGGTGCTCGCTTCGCCCATTCGGGGGCAACGCACACATGGTTTTAGTGTGTTGGGGTGACGCCGATGAGAGGGGGCGGGCCTTCTCAGACGGCTCAGAAGCGCCCTGGCCTTCTGAGAGATTCGCCCCAGGCCTTTCCCGAAGAGACGAACCACTTCTCAGAAGGCGCGAGGGCTTCTGAGAAGAGCCGCCGCCTTCTGAGAAGAGGAGGAGGAGGGAGGAGGAAAGGGAGGAGGAGGAGGAGGCGGAGGAGGAGGAGGAGGAGGAGGAGAACGAGGAGGAGAACGAGGAGGAGGAGGAGGAGGAAGAGGAGGAAGAGGAGGAGGAGGAGGCGGGGGATGAGGAGGAGGAGGAGGAGGAGGAAGAGGAGGAGGAGGAGGAGCCTTCTCCTTCTCACTTACCCCCCTCCACCCCCGCCGCCGAGGGAAGGAACGGTCCACCTGTGGTGGGCCGCGGCGCACGCAGGCCGGCACCGAGACCGTCCACCGACGCACGCCCGCGCTCCCGCCGCCGCCTCTCCGCCTCCCGTCCCTGCCAGCCCACGGGGCGCTGTCCTGCGGTCGGTCCGGCAGCGACGCCTGCACAGTCGGGCTTGATCCTGACCATCGCTCGGACGTCCATTCCCTGTGTTTGTTTCCGGTTTCGTGCGCGATTGCTTCGTCAAATGATCGAGGATGCTCCTCGATGGTCCTCGCCGCAGGATGCTCCTCGATGGTCCTCGGTCAAAATACACACGTCCGAGCGATGCCAAGAATTGGACAGGACACGCGAAAGGACACGCACGAGACCCCTTGGAGGGCCACGCTGCCACGGGAGCGTAGGGAAGGCATGGGTCGCGAGCCACGGTGCGCGACACAGGACACAAGGGTACCCTGGATTTGGCAGGGTTGACCTGAAGGGGCCCTGGGACACACAAATGAATACACACAAATTACTCCAGTGCGACCCTACCTAGGAGTTGGAGCCCCTAGGAAAGCAGCATTAGTAGTAACGGTAAACACCGTCCTCCTCCTTCTCCTCATCGTCGTAGTTGCCTTTGCTTTTGCTTGTGTTTGCTTTTGCTTGGTTTTGCTGTTGCTTTGCCTTCGCACACACACACGCATGTTCTTGCATTCGCTCACCAGATGGGCTCTCTGATCGTACTGTTGCACACTTGTTTTTGCTTTGCCTTTCATTTGCTTTGCGTTTGCGTTTGCTTTGCTGTGTGTTGCGTTGCGAGTGCTTTGCTTTGCTGTTGCTGCTCTTGTTTTGCCTTTGCTTGGCTGCAATGCTATGCTATGCCATGCTATGCTGCACTATGCTATGCCATGCTATGTTATGCTATGCTATGCTGCGCCATGCTGCGTCATGCTGCGCTATGCTATGCTACGTTAGCTAGGCTATGGTATGCTATGATATGCTGCGCAATGCTATGCTGTGCTGTGCTATGCTGCGCTATGATATGCTGTGCTATGCTGCGCTAGTATATGCTATGATATGCTATGCTGCGCTATGCTATGCTATGCTATGCTGGACTATGCTATGATATGCTAAGCTAAGCTAAGCTACAGCTACGCGAGGCTAAGATGAAGCTAAGCTAAGCTAAGTTAAGCTAAGCTAAGATGAGATACGCAAAACTAAAGTAAGGGGGCACAACTGGGGGAATCGCGGGGCGGGGACGCGGGGAACCGCCCGGGGCGGGGCCCACTGCCCAGCCCCTTCAAGCTCAGAGAGTAAGAACCCTCTAGGCAGAGCCTAGGTAGGGAACACGAGGATTCCCTATATTATTGTTTTTTTGTCTTCCCCCCCCTCCCTTCCCATATTTTCCAATGTTTTCCTGGGGATAGACGATGAATTGTGTCTGAGCGTTTTCGTTTTCCCTCCTGATGACCTACTGATCAGGCCCGCCCCTCCAGCGGAACCCTCAAAACTGGGGCGCCCCTGCGGCCAAGCCAAGCGCGGCCGGGCGGGCGGCGCCGAAGAGGCCAACCCGAGAGCAACGAGGGGCAAGAGAAGCAACTCCCTCCTCCACCTCTCCTCCGCCTCCCCCCCGTCCTCCCTCCTCCTTCCTCCCTCCGTCCTCCGTCCTCCCCCCTCCTCCTCCGTCCTCCGTCCTCCCCCCTCCTCCTCCGTCCTCCTCTGGCTTCCTCCTCCTCCTCGTCCTCGTCCTCGTCCTCATCCTTCTCCGCGTCCTCCTCCTCCTCCTCCTCCTCCTCCTCCTCCCCCTCCTCCTCCTCCCTCAGCGGAGACACCCACCGCGACGATGACGCCCACCACGGCGGCGACTATGACCACGACCCCGGCAAGGGCAAGGTCCTTGGCCTCCACCTGGCACAGCTCTGTCCTCGCCTGCCCCGTGGTGATCTCGGACATCTCTAGCCTCTGCATGATCTCGGCGGCCGTGGCCTCGAGGAAGAGGATGAGGATGAGGATGAGGATGAGGATGAGGATGAGGAGGAGGAGGAGGAGGAGGAGGAGGAGGAGGAGGAGAAGGACAACGACGACGACGAGGGACGACGACGGCGACGACGACGACGACCACGACGACGACGACAACGACGACGACGCGGTGCGGGTCCAGTGTCCACTTGGGCGGCCGAGGCGCTTCCAGCGCCGCCGAGCGCCCCCTGCAGGCGCGCGCGCGGGCAGGACGGCGGCCGCCGGAGAGGAGGACCTCTTACTGGGGTGTAGCCCAGTGTAGCCCACACGTGCAGTGCCAGCGGAGGAGGAGGAGGAGGAGGAGGAGGAGGAGGAGGAGGAGGAGGAGGAGGAGGAGGAGGAGGAGGAGGAGGAGGAGGAGGAGGAGAGCGGGGCTTCGGCGGCAGCCTGGGGCTTCGCACTGCGACCACAATATACCCGCGGGCGCCGCCGCCTCGCGGCGTGCTCCAGAGAGGCGGTGCATCCCCGTCCAAGTGGCGACCCGGCACCCAGGATGACCGCCTCACCCAATCGGGGAGGACCTCAAGTCCCCCGAATGTGACGTCCAGGGCGAAGCCTCCAAACGGAGGCGGGGCCTTCGGCCCCGAACCGAAGCGCAACTTCGCCCCCTAATTACTCGTGGGTGGTTTCGCCTCCATAAAGTGGTCCGAGCGGGCACGGCCCAACGAGCCGCGCTCGCAATGCCCCCGTGCAATCTGCCGCCAGGAGCAGGGCATCGTCGCACGAGTGTGCTCCAAACGGGCTGAGCGCCCCAAGACGGGCCAAGAGGCTTCCAAGAGGGCCCCAAGAGGGCCGCGAGACGGCCCAGGAGGCGCCCGAGACGGCCCCAAGACGGCCCCAAGGCGGCCCCAAGAGGGCCCCAAGAGGGGCCCCAGATGAACGGGCCGACGCACCCGAGGCAGTGGCCTACGCAGGCCAGCTCGGGGCCCGACAGCCCGAGGGTCCTGGCCACCCTGGCCACGGGCAGGCACCTCACGCATCGCAGCTTACCCGCAGGCTGCGGCTGCACCATGCCGTGCTCTCCCGCGGGGGCCTCTTCCTCAGCTGTCAATCTCCAGGGGGCCACATGCGAACCCTGACCCTACCCCCCACGATTTCTGAGGGTGGGGGTTCACTTCGCTCGGGAGCTCCCGAACGAAGTGAACCCCACCGCCCCCCTCAGAAATCGTGGGGGGTAGGGGTAGGGGCGTGGACAGGCTGGCAGACTTCAGCACTCGATCGTTCGTGTGCAGATCCTGGGCCAGCCTGGACGCTCCGAGCTTAGCGAACTGACCAGCAAACTTGTGACCGAGTCGCCAGTACCAAGGCGTCTGCTGATAGGTGGTCGTCGCGCACACGCGGGTGACCCTTGATTTTGATCACTCAAACCTCCCCCCCTGAGGTCGTCAACACGCCCCCACACCCGTCCCCACAAGCCGGCGCACATTCACCTGCTGCCCGTCGTGGCCTCGCGGCCCTCCTTCAAGCTCGAGGCCACCCAATCACACTTGGACAGCTAGCGAAAGGGCCCGAGCGAGGCGTGGAGGAGGCACATTCGAACCCCAGACATCTCGGCCACCTCCAAGTGCTGGAGGAGTCCAGGGAAAGGGGGGGGGGCCACACAGCGCAACCGTGACATCCCGGGCCGCTCCCCGAAGCTTGCACCGCGGGCGCCCCCCGCTCTCTTCACGCGGGGCTCGCGCGCCAGCGTGCACCAGCAGGACCCGTCGCCGAAGGCCTCGCCCTCTCAAGGTGGCCTCACGGGAGCCCCGCCTCTCTCCGCGGCGAGAGAGGGGGGGGAAGTGAGAAAAAGAAAGCCCACTCAGCGGGCGCCGGGACTGCTCAAAGCCCTCGCGCCTGCCGTGAGGTTTGGTGTGTCTTCGGGGCAGGCTTCGAGCACTTCTGAGAAGGCTGGGGGACTCCCGAACCTTCTGAGAAGGCCTTCTCCTTCTCTCTTCCCCCCCTCGCTCGCCGCCGACTCTCGCTTCACCTGGAGCTCCAGAGATGGTAGTTGTTAGGATCGGCGACGTCGCGCATGGATTTACGAGAGAGTGGCGCCTGGAATAAGGCAGGATGAATTCATTTTGGCAGCAGGTGGCCTCGCCAAGAGCATCACGTGCCTGGACACGGCCCCAAACACGAGTGCCCCGCCGTCTCTCGCTTGAGGCCACACAGTTCGCAGCAGGGGCTATCGTTAGGTCGGGCATGTCCTCCTACAGGCAGACTGTGGAAGAACTATTGGAAATAGTCAAAAATAAACAGAAGTAAACAAAAAGGCACGACAAACAGTCGCCAGACTATTGTTTACTGTTCTTAGCTGTTCCTCCTGTAGAGAAACATGCCCGACTTAAGGCTATCGACGAGACCCTCCGGAACCTACGAACTCGATTCCAGTATCCATTCGCTGCGAGGCACCTTGCCGCCGCCTGGTTTCAAGGCCCTCCAGTCCTTGGCGGCCGACCTGGGCTGGCGAGGAAGGGGGGAGAGAGATCGAGGCGAGTAGGAGGGAGAGGAGGAGGAGGAGGGAGAGGAGGAGGAGGAAGGGGAGGAGGAGGAGGAGGAGGAGGGAAAGGAGGAGGACAACGAAGATAACATGGGGAAATATACTTGTAATGTAGCGCTGATGCCCTACGGAATGACCATGTGCGCGTCGGGTGGAACCCTTGGGCTCACCCATCTTTTCATGTCGGGGCTGGTGACAATTGGGGACATCACACCTCCCGTTGACTTGTACAACGTACCGTGCGACGCACAAGACAATTGGTGGTGGCTCGTACGCGCCAGCCGCATGTCTCTTGGCAACTGCTGCTGCCTATTCAAACTTGGCACACCCTGGTGAACATGTGTGCAACTCAAATTCACCATCAATGAGAAAAGAACGTGCGTTATTAACTAAACTCAGGACTGCCGGTACTGCCGCCAAGCTGTGTCCTGGAGGCGCATGCCTCCACTTCAATCGGGGAGGATCCGCTACACGGATAAACTCACGAATGAAAGACCTCCCGTGAAATTGTCGAAACTCCCCTGAACAACAAAAAGTAGCAAACACACATTAACTACAACCTTCCTTTTTGCAAATGCGACGTGACAAACAGATGCAGACAGAACTCGGGACTGCCGGCATTGCCACCGGGCTGCGTCACCGACGCCGAAGCCTCCAGTGGGAGAGGACTCGCTCGTGCGCTTGAGCTCACGACCGAACGACCTACAGTGCTATTGTCGCAACTCCCCTTCACAACAAGGCATGGGTGCGATCCGCCTTCGCAAACGAGAAAGAAACAACCAGACGTGAACTGAACTGGAAAATGCCGGCAGTGCCGCCGGGCTGTGTCCCCGTGGCAGAAGCCTCCAATGAGGGGATTCGCTAGCACGGATGAACTCACGAACGAATGAGCTGCCACGCCATGGTCGAACCTCCCTTGACCAACAAGAAGTAACCAAAGCATGCAGGCTGTGACCCACCCTCACGCACACAGCATAGCCAAAACACATATCCTGAACTCAGTGCTGCTAGCATTGCCGCTGGGCTGTGCTCCGGAGGCTGAAACCTCCAATGGGGGAAGGATCGCTAGCACGGATGAGTTCACATATGAATGAACTGCCGTGCTATGGTCGGACATCCCCTGAACAAGAAAGGGTACCAAGTGTCAGTGCAGTTCTTTTAGCTCGGACCGCGCGGCAGTCCAACTGCGCGTGCAGTCCCAGGGCCCCAGGACTAGGGCCAAAACGGCGGCGGGCAGCGTGCGCGCCACAAACATGAAAAACATGTGCATCATGCGTACACGGCGGCCCGGGCGGCAGAGGGGCAGGGGAGTGCACTCTTCACACTGGGTGAGAACAGTGCTGCCCCGATGCCGTTCCTTACAAGCGTGAAGCGCTGCACGCAGACATCGCCTATACCGGCCCACGGGCCGGTACACCTCAAGCAAAGTGCGGCCTGAGGCTCAAAATATAAAGTATGAAATATGAATGTCTAGACTCACTAGTCCAGACTGCCGTCTCAATGTACATGCGCACATCACCGTAGCGCTTACTAGGTCCATGCAGCGGCTGCAACAGGACCTCACGGGCTCGCAGGCCCCGGAACGGCGGCCCGACGCTGGGCCTTCCGCCCCATGGCTCTCTCACGCTGTCCGCGGCGCAGCCGCAGACGGTGTGCCTCCTCATCCTCCTGTTCAGCAGTAGGCAGCATGCTGAACAGTCCGTGGCGGAGGAACTGCGATAGCACCTCGTTAGGCTGCACGGCCTTCGTCAGCACGTCCGCCAGCATGTGGCTATTGGGCAGCCACTTGAACTTGATGGTCTCCTGCTCGATCAAATCCTTGGCCACCAACAAGTCGATGAGGGTCTGCCGATACACCGGCATCGAGCCGATTTTGGACGTGTGGTCGTAGAGCGACTTCGCATCCGTCACCAGCGCCCCCGGAACCTTCAGCGCCAGCCTCCAGTCCCCTTGCAGGGGCGGCTCCCCGTGCAAGACTGCCTCAATCAGCAGCCTGAGGTGGAGCTGCCGATCCAAAGCCACGGACATAGCCGCAGACTCTGCGGCCATCGTAGATCCAACAACTCGTGTAATAGTACTACTCTGGAACTCCACTAGACAACATATAGCTAGCTCCTTCAACACTCGGGTATCCGTAATCATACTCATGAACCCCATCTGGCTCTTACAGCCGGGTTCCTTCACAAACGAAGCGTCCATAAGCGTGAGCACCTGCAAGCGCTCGATGTCCACGCGGCGGATCCGGAGAGTCGCAAGACCTCTCTTGTCGTAGTCCTGAAGCCGGTCGATGATGTCATTGAGCACTCGCAGGCGCAGTAACCTCCGACCTTTCGGATCCTTCTGTGCGAGCGCCGACGCGCTGCACGCGAGTTGTGGCACCACACGTGCGACAGGCCAGCGCACCTTCTGGAGCGAGCTCCGGAAGTCGTGGTGCTCTTCGGGAGTCATCTCCCGCTCCTCGTCGTCCCCCCTTGCAAGGGGGTGC